ACAGAAGACGTGGTCCCTTGTTCCTCTACCTCCAAACAAAAACCTTGTCGGCTGCAAATGGATCTACAAGCTCAAGCGCCATCCTGATGGTTCGATTGCTCGGCATAAAGCCCGATTAGTGGCCAAGGGTTTTTCTCAAGAAGCAGGTCTTGACTATTATGAGACCTTCAGTCCGGTAGTTAAACCAACCACAGTCCGATTGATGTTATCCTTGGCAGCTACTAACGGATGGAAGTTGAGGCAGCTTGATGTCAAAAATGCGTTTTTGCATGGCTTGCTTGAGGAGGAAGTGTATATGTCTCAACCTCAGGGTTTTGTTGATACTGATCATCCTGAATATGTGTGCAAGCTGCAACGGTCTCTCTATGGACTAAAACAAGCTCCCCGAGCTTGGAATGCCCGGTTTACTTCCTTCTTAGTTTCTCTGGGTTTTCAAGCTTCCTATGCCGATCCTTTTCTCTTTGTCAAGTTTGATGGTCTTCATATGGTGGTATTATTGTTATACGTGGATGATATTATACTTACTGGTGATCATGATGCTACTGTTCACTCTGTGCTTCAATGCTTGACTAAGGAATTTGCTATGACAGACTTGGGTCTCCTTCATTATTTTCTCGGTCTGCAAATTGAGTATTGTCCACAGGGGTTGTTTGTCCATCAGTCTAAATATATATAAGACTTGCTGCAGAAAACTGATATGGTTCAGTGCAAGCCTTGCATTACTCCTTGTCACCCCAACCAAAAATTACTTAATCATGGCAGTTCGTTATATTCTAATCCCACCCACTACAGGAGCATTGTTGGAGCTTTACAATACCTCACGTTCACTCGACCTGACATTGCATACTCTGTTAATCAGGTTTGTCAGTTCATGCATACACCATTGGAGTCTCATTTTGGTGCTGTCAAACGGATTTTGCGCTATCTCCGAGGCACTATGGATTGGGGAGTCTGTTTTCGGCCTGGAGATTTAGACATTCGAGCCTACACAGATGCCGATTGGGTGGGTGATCCAAATGATCGGCGTTCTACAACCGGTTTTGTAGTGTTTCTTGGTTCCAATCCCATTTCGTGGAGCTCTAAGAAACAACACACAGTCAGTCGCTCTTCTACTGAAGCCGAATATCGGGCTATGGCCACTACCACTGCTGAGATTATATGGATCCAACAATTGCTCAAGGACTTGCATATTTCGAGTTCTGTTCCTCCTTTGTTACATTGTGATAATATCTCAGCTATGGCGTTGGCCACTAATCCGGTTCTTCACTCCAAAGCTAAGCATATCGAGGTGGATTGTCACTTTGTTAGAGAACGGGTTCAACAAGGCATTATTTCTCTTCAGTTTGTCTCCTCTACTGATCAGTATGCAGATATCCTGACCAAGGGCTTGTGCTCTCCTTCCTTCAGTCATCATTGTTCCAACCTTATGCTTGGGACTTCCCAACATAAGCTTGAGGGGGAATGTTAGAATATAAGGATATTTGTAGATTATAATTTGAGTTATGTAGAGGGTGCCAGCTGTCATTATATTAGTGGCTGTTGACCATTTGTCTTAAGGTTGTTATGAGAGCATGTTAGTATAAATAGTAGAAATGCATTGTATTGTTTAACTTAACAGAAATAGAAAATACAGTTTCAATATTCTCTCTCTCTCTCTAAAAGCTCTCGATAGTTTTCTCTGTCTACCTCCATAGCCAAGCTTTGCTATTTCTAGCTATGTTGACAACAATGACTCTGTATTATTTGAGAAAATTAAAACTTATTGATCTATTTTAAATATACCCTAAACTTGAAAAGCGTAAAATGTAGTTAATCCAAATGTCAAATAGTTTTTTTTGTTTCTTTGGTTTTTTTTTTTTTTAAGAAAAAAAATAGTAGTTACTCCAACCGCCAAATATTAGCTTTTTCATAAACAAAGGTATAATGGCAAGCCAATAAAAACTAACTAAAATTAAAAATTAAAAAAAAAAGGTCCTAAATGAATCTCCTATATTTTTCTTTGAATAGATGAAAAAAATTTGATCAATTCCATCAAAATAAAAGATATTGAATAACTCATTATTAATTATATGGGTTATAAAAATTGAAATGAGCATGGAAGTTTCGGGTGGTTCGTCTTCCATGACTACCGTTCACAAAAAATTAATGACATGAGTTTTTCTTGTGAAGGATCATACTCATTACTCATCTTTAATTTTTTGAAACAACGATGATTATTGATGCTTGTTAGAAGTAGTCATTCAGATTTAAATCGATCCAAACTCCTTATGTAATTCCTCTATTCTTTTCCATACACATCCTATTACTTTCGAGTTTTGATAACTAATCCTTGTAGCATTTTCCTCCAATCCACCTTCCCTTCATGTCCTGCTCAACCAAACTGAACATCATGAGATGGTGGATGATACCGAAATTATTCTATTTGGCATTACTTTAATTGTTTCCGAGTGCCTTTAGCTACATCATCTCTTCTTTCTAAGGAATATTAGTTCATCAACGGGAGTTAGCTACACCTATCATTTTAAGCCTAACTCGTTAAGTCGAACTCAACCCACCCGTTAAAATTAGCATTCGGGTGAATGCTTAATGTGTTGGGTTCTTAACGAATGAACCTGTTAATAACTCGTTAAGTAACGGGTTGTGGAAGGATAAAATCTGGTTTCAACTCATGGGCCACTACCAGTCATCCAAGGGAAAAGTGTTGTGCAAGGTAAAAAGCCCACAAGAAATATACAAACGCAAAGGAACGTGCTTAGATAACTACCCCACTACGGAGGAGAAGTAGGAGAGGGCGACAGGTCATGGCACTTGTTCCCAAAGCATGCAGTCATATGACGGATGACCACTAAAGAAGTGAGAAAGGAGGATTGGTCGTGGTGCTTGATCCTCAAGCATGCAATCCTATAATTGGGAGAGGAGCCAAAGAACAAGGTACGTAATCAGAACCCGAGAAAATCTAAATAAGAGAAAATCAATCGACTGACTTGAGCGTCGGAGTATCTCTTGCCGGTACCACCCGGGCAAGCTACAGAAGAAGACCATTCGGGAGCATCTCTAGTGAAGGATTCGACGAACGTGAGGATTGCGGTCAACGAATCTGTGGAGGCATTTCTTCTTGTGAGAAATCTCGCTCCAACACGGGTCCTTTTGGATTTACCCACCGAACCGATTAACACCCATTAACAACGGTGTTTGTGTAATTTAAAAAATAAAAGGTACCATTTCTCGTCAGGCAGTGCCGTCGCTTGACAAAAACCCCTCCCTCGACTGTCTCGTCTACACAGGCAACCACGAGGCCCCCACTCACTCCTTAGCCCCTTGCGCCATCGATCGCTTCAACGCCAACCTCTTTCACCCACCCAAAGTTCTCTCTCCTCCCTCTCTCCCGCAAATTCTGGAGATCTAGGAAGGAAATTGGCGTGCATGAATTAGTTTAATCCAATAATAATGAAATCAGCAAAAGGAAAAGACAATCAATCCTTGTTTGCACCAGAATTTCTGAAGTTGTACTAATCCCCATTGGCTCCAATTTTGATACGTGATAGACATCGAGCTGAAGAACAGGCGAATGAGGAGGCTGTTATTCACTGGACATGGTAGGCTTGGCAATGAAGGAGAAAGAAGGGTATTTGGATATTAAGAATGTTTGGCAGCCAATTAATTTGACGGATGTTGAAAGCTAAATGCAGGTGGAAGCTTTTGCAAAAATTAACAACAGGTGGCGGCATAAGAAAAATAGTTTCATGCAAAACTTATACATAATCTATTTTTCAGAAAATAAAGTCAAATGGAATGCAAAATGTTAAAATAAATAAATAAATAAATAAGAAGTTTACATGTGGTATGGGTGGTCCTTAACTTAACGAGTTGGGTTTGAGTAATCTGTTAGTTTAACGTGTTGAGTTTAGATACCCGTTAGTAAATGAATTGGATTGAAACTAATTCAAACCTAATAAAACCGACTCATTTACAAGTCTAATGTTAAACATATTATGTATGCATTAGACCATCTTTAACTCGTAATACTAAATCCAATTAATATCGGCCATAGATTCCACATTTAATTGCTATTTTTGCACCATGCTAACACTTGTCGCCAAGCACGCGACAAAGCCAATTTGCAAAATTGTAGGTGTAGAGCGAACCTCTTTGAATTATTTCAGCTTTCCTTTCTTTTGTTGTAAAATGGCAAAATGACTTGGATTAATATTGGAGGAAAGTATTTCTTTTTATTTGAATTTTAATTAAAAAGAGAAATTTGATTGAGTTAGTGTTGAAGATGGTTAAGATAACCTAAACAAATATATATATAAAAAGAAAATTGAAAAAATTGAGGGTAAAACAGTTGTTCGACAATTGGTATAGTTGAGGTGCTAATGTTTAACAATTTGGATTGGAGATGAACCTTCGGCACCTCTTGCACAACATCAAAACTCTTGATTTCTGGTTCAAATATTCAAGTTCTAGATTTTTTCAGTGTGAACGTCATGCTACTACTACCAATTCACTGTTATAATATTTGCATCTATTTTTACTTTTGTAACACTGGAAGGTCCGAATGTACCCACCCTCATCACTTTGAACGCATGAGCTGACAATATCTGTATTCATTTATTAATTTATATCATATGTTCATCATGTGTGAATTTTTATCATTCACTCGTATTATAATACATAGATCAGACTGATCAGTAGCATTTTGTGACCAATACTCCAATAAATTTTTGAAATCTACCAACAATTATTAGGCTTTACAACAACGTTTTATAATCCCGTAAGATTTCTAATTGAAGGGAAAGCCATTTTGCTTTACTGCTTAATGCTTATTATCGTAATTCAAATTTATTTAAATGCGTGACAAAAGTGAGCTCAATTTTGATATATTACCGGCCCACAGCTTGTTAAGGGCCCGAAAGATAAGCCCAATATTTATCGATGAGCGGGAGCAGGTCCGGGTCCGGGTCGGATTGTTTCCCCACTCCCTCATCCAAAATGCTAAGAAAGCCAATAGCCACAAACTTGAAACTCCACGCTCCACAGTGGCTCCGCTGCCCTCACTTCCCGCCATCTTCTCCCTCCGTTCCAATCTCTGCAAACCCTAATTTCATTTCTCCCAATTCCCCCAATTGCTCACTCAATTTTTAATTTGCTTCCCAAAATGCAGCCCCTCTCGTTCTCCAACGCCTTGACGTCCCCAACCCCTCTCTTCCTCCACACGGAGCTCTCCCACCTTTCCCTCCCATCACTAACCCTAACCCCCAAACCCATGATAATCCGGATGGGCGGCGGGCCCAGAACCTTCCCCGGAGGCGTATCCAAGTGGCAGTGGAAACGCATGCAGGCCAAAAAAGCCAAGCAGCTCCTCAAGGCGCGGCTCTGCCGGGAGCGCCAAATCTACGAGATGCGAAAGAGGGCCGAGCTCAAAGCCGCCGTGTCCGAGCTCGAGCGGCCGTGGGAGGTCGTGGAGAAAGCTCCGAACTTGTTCTCTGTCAGCGCCGACGAGCAAGTCAAGGTCTTGGCCGATAGGTTTCAGAAGCCTGGTGGGTTCGATTTGTGGACGGAGAGGGACGGGCCCCAGTTGTTTCACACCATGGAGGACTTGCCCTCCGCGAGGTTTTTCCCCAAAGGGGTTGTTCATAGTGTGAGGCCGTATAAAAGGATTTCTGGGCTGGAGGAATTGGAGGGTTTGGAGCTTGAAGATGGAGGATTTGGAGGAGCTGAGGAATTGGGTGATGGGTTTAAAAGTAAGGGAAAATCGGGAAGTACATCATTGGATTTAGAGGACTCAGATGGATGTTTGAATCTAAAACATTCTATGGAATCGTTGAGTGTGAATGGCCAAGCTGCGAAGAAGTATAGTGGCAGAGTGGGGAAGAGGGAGAATAGGAGAAAATCTGGGTCTTCAGGTGGGTTTGAAAATGCAGAAGCTGGTTTTGACAGGAAACAGAGAGGACAGAGTCCCACAATGCCCGGTGTAGAAGCTGGTTCTGATAGAAAACAGAGAGGACAGAGTCTCACAATGCGCGGTGGAAAGACTCAGCGTAGTAGACGAAATGGTTCGGGGTCTGAAGTTTTTGATATGAGCTTGCTGCAAGATGGGAGCTATGAACTTAAAGTGCAAAATGGCAAGCCATGAAGTTTACATTCAGAACTAAGTGAGTGGCAACTGGAGGATCCTAAGAACTCGTAAATTGACCGTGAAGACTTAATTTTGGTGATTATGTGGATCTCTCGTTTGCATTAGTGTTTGGTAAAGGATCTTGATTCAGGAAGGCACCACTCTCCAATCTGTATGTGTATATTTATGTTCTGTAGTTATTTTAAGCTGAAGGAGTTGAATGACAATGTAATTTTAGTCAAAGTACACATAACAATACTTATGGACGAATTGATTATAATATGCCAAGTGTTACACGAATTTTTTACATGAATTTGTTGATATTTCAGTCTATACTCCTATTTGTATAGTACTTTGAAACATATGCCAGAAGTAGAACTTTAAACTTAACCTTGCATCACTCTGTCATATTGAATGTATTTCTTATTGATAATGCTGATATTTCATTGATTGAATAATGATAAGTTACATGAGGGTATTTAAACTTACACTTTAGAAAAGTAAAAGAGGTAACAAACTGAGTAACAACCTAACTAACATTTGACTTGTGGTTATTATAACTACAATTTACCGTAGTAACTTTCTCTTCACACTCCTTCAAGCTAAACGGAGAAGGTTGAAGTGAAAGCTTGGATCTGAGAAGAAGAAAACGTTGTATGGGAAGAGACTTTGTAAAGATATCTGCCAATTGATCATGACTGCATACAAATTGGACTTTGAGAAGTTCAGCTAGAACCAATTCCCGGATATAATGATAATCAGTTTCGACGTGTTTTGTTCTAGCATGAAACACTGGATTAGAGGCTAAGGCAATAGCAAAAACATTATCACACCAAATCTGAGGCAGAGAAGGCAACTTAAAGCCTATATAAGTGAAAAGTTGGCAAATCCAGGTTATTTCAGCAACAGTGTGAGCCAGGGATCTATATTCAGCTTCAATAGAGCTCCGAGCAACATTATGCTGTTTCTTGGCACTCTAACTAACTAGACAAGGACCAAGAAAGATACAGATACCACTCGTAGATCGTCTATCCCAAGAACAATCAACCCAATCAGCATCTGAAAAGGCTTTAAGTGTAAGAGGAGCTGTGGTTTTTGGAAACCAAAGGCCATGGTCAAGTGTGCCCTTGAGATATCTGAGTATGCGTTTTATTGGATGAAAATGAGGTTCTTGAGGAGAATGCAGAAATTGACATGCCAAATTAACTGCATAAGACAAATCTGGTCTAGTCCAAGTTAAGTATTGTAATGCTCCAACAATATAGCGACATTCCTCTGGATTAGACATCAAAGAACCTGTGAGATCCAATTTGGCAGAACCAAGTGGAGTAGAACATGGCTTTACACCATCCATGCTTGACCGTTTGAGAAGATCTAGGATATATTTGGATTGACTAATGAGTATCCCTAAAGATGATCTTTTCACTTCCAATCCGAGAAAGTAATGCAAGTCTCCTAGGTCTTTGACAGGAAATTAAGCACTGAGTTGATCAATAACAGCTTAACATGCAGTGGAAGAATGTCATGTCATTATAATATCATCAACATAAACCAGTACTAGAACAAGAACAAGTTTGTGAATAATGAACAGATTGTGATCAGAGTGAGATGCTTGAAATCCAATAGAAAACAATGTTAATTGAAGCTTTTCATACCAAGCTCGGGGAGCTTGTTTGAGACCATAAAAAGACTTTTAAAGATGGCAAACATGATGAGGATTGTCTTGATCAACAAATCATGACCATATAATCATTTTCTTTCAGATAGACATGTAAAAAGGCATTGCTTACATCTAATTGACGTAAGAACCAATTAGATTGCACCGCAAGAGTAAGCAAGATCCTTATAGTCACAGGTTTGGCAACTGGACTGAAGGTATCACTATAGTCAATACCCTCATGTTGGTTGTAGCCCTTGGCAACAAGACGGGCCTTGTACCTATCCACAGAGCCATCAGGCTTTCTTTTGATCCAGAACACCCATTTGCAACCAACCAAATTATGTGTAGATGTAGGAGAAACAAGGTTCCAACTTCCAGTATTTTGTAAAGAATTGAACTCATCATGCATTGTAGCTCGCCAATGAGGATATTTCGATGCCTGAAGATATGTAGAAGGAACAAACTCACTGTCTAAGTGAGAAGGCACAAGGTGTTTGGTTGATGTGAAGGCCTTTGGTTTGAAAATACTTGATTTGGACCTTGTTTGCATATGATGAATTGAGGTGACAGGTAGAGATTGAGAAATAGGAGCTGAAATAGTAGGTGAGGTTGAGATTAAAGATGAATTTGGTAGTGAGGTTGATATAGAAGTTGAGATTGAAGGTGAATTTGGTAGCGAATTTGATAATGTCGGTGGGATTGGGATTAATAGTTGGTATGTAGTTGATAGGATGGGAGGGTGAAGGATAAAGATTTGGGAATATTAGAGAGAATGAGGAAGTTAGTGAAGGTGTGGTATTGGAAATAGCGGATGGTTGGTGCTTAGTGATATCATGGAAAGGAAAAGTGTTTTCATCAAATTGAACATGTCGAGAGACATAGACCTTATTTGTAGAAGGATCTAAACGCCTGTAACCTTTGTGAACCAAGCTATAACCAATGAATACGCACAATTTACTCTTAGGTTCCAATTTTGAAGTAGAATAGGGTTTGAGCTAGGGAAAACATTTGCAGCCAAACACCCTTAAAGTTGTATAATCAGGAGCTTTGTGAAATAATTGTTCCCATGGAGATGCTTTATGAGATGGAGGCAATTTATTAATAAGGTAGATTGCAGTGAGGAAGGCCTCCACCCAAAACTGATGAGGAACCTTGGAGACAATCAAAAGAGTCCTGGCAGTTTCCACAATATGCATGTGCTTCCTCTCAACACAACTATTTTGTTGAGGTGTGTATGGACAGCTTAGATGCTATTGAATACCATGAGAGGAAAAATGATTTTTGAACTGAGAACTAGTAAACTCACCCCCTGAATCAGGTCGTAGTGTACCAATTTTGTGACCAGAAAGATTCTCAACAAGAGCTTGAAATTGGACAAAAACATGAAAGACATCTTATTTATGTTTCAGTGGATACAACCATGTATATTTTGTAAAGTCATCGACAAAGATGACATAAAATCTATAGCCACTGATAGAACATATAGGAGCTGGACCGCAAACATCTGCATGAACAAGTTCTAAGATTCTAGAGGTAGTACATATATAATTCTGAAATGGCAATTTAGCACACTTGCCTAAAACACAATTCGAGCAAAACAGTTGCTGAACAGAATTAGAAATAGGCAAACTAGACTTTGACAAAAGAGATCGAAAAGTCTTGAACGTTGGATGTCCTAAACGTTGATGCCATATAGCAGAAGAGGTCTTTATTGCAGTATTAGCAGAATACTATGCTGCAATTGAAGAAGATGCAAAGAATGGATAAAGACCACAACGAACAGGTGCTCTAAAAAGCATCATCCCCGTAGTAAGATCCTTGACATTGAAGTCAAACGGATTTAGAGTCAAAGAACACCAATTATCACACAAGAACATATTTGCAGAAAGAATATCATGTTTGAGATGAGGAACATGTAACACATTCTTTAATGTAAAAGTTGCAGATGGTGTTTTAAGAAAAGTAGATCCAGTATGAAGAATTGGCAAACCTTAACCGTCACCAATGTAAACTTTCTCTGGCCTTGTGTAAGGCTAAGAATTTTCAAGGTTCTGAATGTTGTTAGTCATGTGAGAGCTTGCTCCAGAGTCTAAGAGCCATGGTGGAGGAGAAGATGTGAAATCATGTCCCTAAATTTCACTATTTAAATTACGTATTTAAGTATTATTAATTTCAAGATTTTTTTAAAGAATTTTATATATAGTTGGCAACCATGCATAAATCTAGAATTTCCTTTCTTTATATGGTGGTGGATAAATTATTTTATGCTAGGGAAAAAAAAAGGAAAAAGAAAATATGGATGGAAGCTGCCTGATGGCAACGAAGGAGAGAGAGGAAGAGGGGAGTTTCTGGAAATAAAGGAGAGAGTCTCAGCCAAGGGGAGGAGGAGAGAGAAATAAGGTGGCGAATGAGGAACCAGAGAAATGATAGAAATGAGGGAAGGGGAAGGCCAGCAAAACACCACCCCAACCCGTGCTACTTGAGACTCGGTTGTAGCCAGTGGTTTCTCTGATGAATTTCATCCCTTTTCCAATGAATTGGGCTGATCTAACAGTCCTAATCATCATATCGACCCTTCCTCTACCATTTCCACATCAAATTTGAGAAGATTGGATTCGAATTTGGGAAAAAAATGCACTGGTGGATGCGACGGCTGCATGGTGGTAATCCATCAAATCCGAAGCCAACTCCATCAACCACCACTACCAATAGGCTGCTCTCAACCTCAAGAACAAAGCCCAAGCAGTGGTGGAGGCGTCGGAGTGAGAATGAAGGTTGAATCGAAGCACACCCTATTTAGGGTTTCCGGCGGGTTTGTGTGGAATTGAAGCTTTTCCCGATCAAATTGACCTTGGCCACAGGTATGGAAATTGCTCCCCTCACTGAGATCTACTTGCCCGTAAAATTTGGTATTTTTAGAAATAGTTGAATTTTCTGGCGAGTTGGGGCGGCCGACTGCCACCCACGACGGCGCGTAACCAGTGGGTCAGTAATGCTATTTTACGCTAAATTGATATCTTGATCTCAGATTGTGACATCCCACATCACCCAGGGAAGTGATCCTTATATGTAAATTCCCATCCTTACCTAGCATGAGGCCTTTTGGGAGTTTACTGGCTTCGGGTTTCGTAGGAACTCCGAAGTTAAGCGAGTAGCGTGCGAGAGCATTCCCAGGATGGGTGACCCATCGGGAAGTTCTCGTATGAGTTCCCAAAAACAAAACCGTGAGGGTGTGGTCGGGGCCCAAAGCGGACAATATTGTGCTACGGTGGAATCAAGCCCGAGATATGGTGGGGGCCCGGCTGAGATGTGACAATTTGGTATCAGAGCCTAACCCTGGCAGCGTGTGTGCCGACGAGGACGTCGGGCCCCTAAGGGGGTGGATTATGACATCCCACATTGCCTAGGAGAGTGATCCTTATATGTATATTCTCATCCTTACCTAGTACGAGGCCTTTTGGGAGCTCACTGGCTTCGGGTTCCATCGGAACTCCGAAGTTAAGCGAGTAGCGCGCGAGAGCATTCCCAGGATGGGTGACCCATCGGGAAGTTCTCGTGTGAGTTCCCAGAAACAAAACCGTGATGGTGTGTTGAGGGGGCCCAAAGCGGACAATATCGTGCTACGGTAGAGGCGGGCCCGGAAAG